ATTCAGATTTTTCTTATCTTTATTGCCAGTTCATTATAATATGCAGCTTAACATTAAGATTAAATATTTACCTCATACTGAAACAAGAAAAGTCATATTTTAAAGTAATAGATTCATGGGCAAATGTTTTAAGGCAAACCCAAGAAGACATACAAGGCGGCAAATTTAGTTTTTAAACAAAGGAGTACATTTATTTTGGAATAATGTTTGTTTCAGCTCTGTTACGCATTCCAGTTTAAATAATGTTATAAAATATAAGGCATATCAAAAGTTGAGTCCCATAGCCTAGGGGTCCCGAACTCCTAGTCCGCAGACTGACACCGGTCCGTAGTATGCCCAGAACTGGTCTGTGGAAGTAAGCAAAGCTCCATCCACGCATGTGCAGGATCCAGGCAGCACACAAATCCAGCCTCCACTAGTCCACAGAAAAACCACCCTCAATGGAATCAGTCCTTGGCAGCCGAAAGGTTGGGGACTGCTCCCATAGGCCAATTACATTTCATTAACCTTTTAACAAAAAGCTATACTTTGGAATATTCGAATGTCATTTGCGAAATTAATAAGAAAGTATTTAGAACAAAGGGGCATCCAATTTGACCATTTGATATAATTTAGGCAATAATTGCCGGTAGGCCCTGACTTTGATACACCCTGTATATTGTCAAGTTTCAGTATATACTGTATATATTCTTTCCTTTTTTGCCATGAAATAACAGAATAAGATAGGAACAGACCTTGGAAGTCTTCTAGTCCAACCTCCTGCTCAAGCAGGACATTTTATACCATTTCAGATAAATGATTGTCCAATCTCTTCTTAAAAACCTGCTATGATGGAGCACCCACCAACTCCTGGCAGCAAGCTATTCCACTGATTAATTGTTCTGCAGGAAATTTCTCCTTAGATCTAGGTTGGATCTCTCTTTGACAAGTTTCCATTTGTTACTTCTTGTCCAGCCCTCAGATGCTTTGAGAATAAGTTGATCCCTTCTTCTTTGTAGCAGCCCCTTAGATATTGGAAGACTGCTGTGATATCACCCATAGTCCTCCCCTTTGTTAGACACATCCAGTTATTGCAATCATTCTTCATGTTTTAGCCTCCAGTCCCCTAATCATATTTGTTGCTCTTCTCTGCAGTCTCAACATCCTTTTCTTCAGTTCACCCTATCTGCATACTGCTTTATTCTTTTTTGCTTTCACCAAAGGAAGGATAGAGGATAATGTGCAATAATATGCACTTATATATTATATGCATATGATCTATTTTTAAACAGAACATGATTAAAATGCCTATAAAGTAATTATTGTATTAATATTTTTTGGGAGGGGGGTGTTGTTCCTGCCTGTTGCTAAAAAGTTTCTAATGTAATATATTTTCCCATTTATTTTCAGTCTTTTGATTTATAAACAACCAAACATTCTGTACATAGTCATTATATTAACACATACCTGGGGTGGTAGAAATTATTCCTTTTCTTCCCAATTTAGTCTTGCTTCCTGCATTCATAGTTTTCTTTCCAGAAAGAGAATCCAGTAAAATTTCACCTGCAGTAAATATATGAAATAATCAAAAAGATTCATAAACTTCTCAAGTTGTAAGTTGGTCAAAGTTGGTTTTGCATATTCAGCAGTTATATTATTTCACTCAAGCTGCTAAGTTAAAAGGCAGAGGATACCAAGCCACAATTTTATTTTAAGCAGTTTGTTATTATACAAGAAGCCCTTGCTTAATGGCTGTATGGTGATTGGGACTGAAATTTTTACACTAAACAAAGCAGTCATTAGGTGAAATATCACGTGAAAGACCACTTGGCAAGAACGGCTCCAGTTCAGTCATTAGTCAAACATCTTACACATTCTTGGGAAGAGTCAGTAGCTGCTGGGCATTCCTTGTCAGCAGGAGGAGGAAAATAAAGGCTGGAAGCAATGGAAATAGGAAGCAGTGGCAATAGGCAAGTGGGTGAAGCGCATATTGAGGTCCTAAATGCAGGCAAACTGCAAAGCACCCAAATTTTGATCATGTGACTATGGGGGTACAACAGCCATAATTTCAAGGATTGGTCAAAACATTTCTTGAGCCGTAGTCATAATTTCAAAGTCACTGAACTAACAGTTAAAGGAGGACTACTTGTAGTAGGTGCTATCCTGCTTGAAATACAGGTTATCTAGTCGGAGCTAAAACACACCATAAAATACTGCCCATTTGTAGTATCCAAACTTCCATCAGATTAAACAGATTGTTAGAGAGAGCAACACTGAATACTGTTGCTCTCAAGATTTTGTTCCCTTCAAACTATGTTCAGATTTTGAAAGTTCTATGTGGCTTTACATATGACATATGAGCAATTGAGAAAGATCTACATAAGTTGCCCACACATTTGTCCTAAATGACAATGTAAAACAAGTATTCTACTTATAAATGCAAATTACTTTCAACTCGGTTTTGCCTAGTGGAGTCTCTTTCTTTTCGCTGACTTGGAGTAACAAAGTCTTCTAAGTTTCTTGCTGTTTCACTGCTTTGTGATTGATCATTTTGGTTTATCTTCAGTATCTTTTCAAATCCTGCATCCGAGTTCCCGTCAGAATTTAGCGATATTGGAACCTGCAGTTCAAAAATATATGTCATGTGGAATTTTATATAAGCATAAAATGGTGAATAGGATCTTACATGTATGCAGGCTGTGACACCTCCCTCCAAGGCCTCCACTCCACATTCGTTGCCTGAAATTCCCTCTTCCCATTTAATGATCTGGGATAGGTGTCCCTAAGCAATGCTTTAAACAAATTGCTTAGTGATGGCATTCCCTGGCCCAATTGCCATCATAATCTAGTATCATCAATATATTCAAATATATTCAGGAAACCATATATTGGAACACAACCTAAAATTGAAATGCTTTGTTTGTGCTCCCAAATTTATCACATATAACCAGAAGAATAATTGGAAGCATATAATGGGTTTCACCTCAATTTTCTCACACAGGCAATGCAAGTGTATTCATATACAATTTCTATTCTATTAAGTACAGTGTCATTACAGTAATTATATTTCTATTTTATACTCTTCTGCCAGTTCTTGGTATTTACAATAAATCAACCAAACTGAAAAACTAAAAACTTTTATGCATCTTACAATTTTATATAATTAGCATCACCTCTTTCTCTGAATCCAGTTCCATTTTTTCTTTAAGATTTTCTTGTGTAGTTGGCTGGGCATTATCTTCTTTCTGTTTTCTCTGCCTTTTGGTGATTTTGGATGAATTTATGGAAATATAACTGCCATTCTGTTCCTCAATATCTGTAGATGGGGATATCTTTTTGATATCCTACACAAAAGAAAGCAATTTTATGATTCTCTTATTTATTTCAGTGACAAACTGTAAGGTATTATTCAGTTAGCAACAGCCTATAAGCTGCTTGTTCATAGTAGTTTATGCCCCCAAACTGTTATGCTAAAGAAAATCAGATGACCTAGTAGACATGATCCATACCAGATGCATAGCCAGGCAGCTAAATAATGTGCTTTCATTATATGGAAGAAGAGTTACTCCATTTTAAGATACCATTGCTGGAAGATATAACGCTAATAAAATTGTCAAAATGTTGTGCCCTTACCGTATTTTCATTTTTTTCACAGAAGTGTTTCTTTAATACACTTAACAGCTTGGCTGCCTACAAGAAAAATCATTTGAGAGCAATTATCAAAAAGGGCTGTTATAAATCAAGTCACTGCAACTAGACGTAAAAACCTGTAACACATTTGTGATATATTTGCCTCCACTTCAGCTGTCTCAAAGATGGGAACCTTGCCTTTCAGCATCACTTTTAGGTGCTTCCTAGCTGAGCTTCCAGTTTATCTTCTGATCACAACTCTCACAATTCTAGCTCTCACCAGCTAAAGGCACAGAATCTCTAATTTCAGCAGCATCTTTGGCCTTCTACAAAAGATGTAGGGAGCACAGTTGGATCGGGCCTTGGGAAACTCTTTGGAAAAAATAAACCCTATAGGCTAGGGAAATGACTAGACATTTTAACTGGACAAGTGAAATCCCATCCACCATCACACCCAGATTTCCATCAATTATTATCACAAAGGCAGGGAAGGAATCAAGATTACATTAAATCAATGTTTTTCAAACTTTGCAAGGGTTAGGAAGCATGGATATTCTCCATGCTGATTGGGAAATTCAGGGAATTGAAGACCACATAACTTATCATTGCCAAGTTTGAAAATACAGTACAGGTAGTCCTCACCTTACAAACGCAATGAAGCCCAAAATTTATGCAGCTAAGTGAGAAATTTGTTAAGCGAGTTTTGACCCATTTTATGACTTTTCTTGCCACATTTGTTAAGTGATTCACATGACCAAGGGGGTGCTGGAGAGTGGTCATAAGTCACCTTTTCCAGCGCCGCTGTAACTTTGAACGGTTACTAAGCGAACTGTTGCAAGTCGAGGACTACCTGTACTACATCAGACTTGTTCAGTGAACGGACTACTCGCATAATAAAGTCCAAGTAGTCTACCGAAGACACAATCCTGCAACGGCAGGATGCACGACTCGCATCACATTCATTTCCAAGTTCGGTTCGAGGCGGGAACCTATCAAGACGTCCCTCGCTCAAAAGGGCTGGTCGGGAACCCGCTGCCCCAGCTCGCTACTTTCGATACATCTCTAAACCCAGTGCTTTTGCTCCCTCCCTCCCGCCTGGCCAGCCCACGGCTCACCTTGAGATTAGCCTTTAACCCCGCCGACTTGGCCAGGCACTGCAATTCGCTGTATTTGAGCGCCTCCAACTGAGACGATGAGAGGACCTCCATGACTGGCGCGTAGACGTCCAACACTCAATTCCCTCTTCGCGGAGACACTGAACTTCAACCGCCAAGCGCCTCTTCGGTCCCGCCTCTATTTTCAAACCTCCCAATCGTGGCGAGGTCTCTGCGCATCCCTTTCTGGTAAAGCCAATCAGATCCCAGGATGAAAACGGGGCGGTTTTGTTTTCCCAGAAACCTGGCCGAAAGCTTCAGTGCTCGAATTCCCGCAATTCGATTAGGTAAAAGCGAAAGACGAACAGGCGTCTTCTGCAATGAGCGAGGAGAGGGGAGGGGGCGGTCCTTGCTAACCACTTCACACGAGCTCAAGGGGATGCCAATCAGCGCAGTAAGAAGGCGGGAGTTATATTTGAATCGTTGGTGGGAGGCCGTGATGTCTGTACGGAAGAAACTGCGGCTTCTGTTTGAGGAGCCCCAGGTGGGCGGCACAATCACGGTAGAGCGGCCCGAACCCGTGACGTGGCCCAGTTGCCAAGCCCAGCGAAGCGCACCGAAGCAGGGGAGCCGCGGGGAGCCAGTCCCGGGCGCTCGGGGACTCAGGCTGGAGGACTGCATGGTCTATCAATGCCGGCGCTGCCGGGTCGTATTAGGAGACTCGCTCCACTTGTGCGCGCAGGAGGAGAAGCTCCGCCTTTTTGTTTGTTTCAGTGAGTTGGTCGGATGTTTTGAATAAACACACTAAAGTCGAACTGCCAGGCGGTGCGAATCGGCGAAGTTTCGAGGGGCACCGAAACTTAGGCAGGAAAATGCGAATCGATCTGCTCCAAGGATGCCTATGGGGCTCTCGCTGGCTAGGACATACACGTGTTGTGCTTGTTAAGTATGAAACGGTCCCGAAAGTGGAAGGGTGTGTGTGTAAGAGCAAAACATCGTACTTGATTTAGACGCGTTTTCCTCTAATTAATTAGCATAGTGATTTGTTCGTCACTTTTGCACCTGTAGAATTTGGCTAAGTGCTGAGCCTTGAAACCGATTTTCTCAGAAACTTGCTATGATTATGTTCAGTAATATGAACTGAGGTGTGGCATATTTGGCACTCGTAGCCAAATAAGCGGCTGATCTATGCATTCCAAAGTGTTTGTTTAGTTACTTGACTATTTCACCGTCATCGTAAATGACAAGAATCGTGGAATTTCAACTGTATAACTTCTTGTGTCACAATACTGAGACTGATTGTATCCTTCGGATCAAAACAATAGGCCCTTAATGTGATAATAGAACTCCCATAAATTTTAGGGGGTAAATATAAATACTTGTATTTTGAACACTTGATGGATGAGCGACAGTCTTGCCTACCTTACTTTAATTATTTAGAATTTAAATTTAGGGCATTCCAAACAAAGGATTCTAAATCAAATCTTTTTCTCCTTAGATAGACATGCGTGTTTTATTTCATACACATGCTTATTCTAAAGGAGATCCTTATAATAATTCAGAGAGATTAGTTGGGTAATGTGTAACTGCACTGATTATTACAACTTAGTATTTGGTTCGTATATTTGATTCTTTGATTTTAGCTTGATACATGATCCATTATACATTTATTCATTCAGTTTGTATAGCTGCTGATTTCTGAGTCACCAATGAACAATCATCTAAATACTTAACCAGTTAAACACAATATAAAAATAATTAAAAAGAAACAGTAGCGCCCCAAAGATAGGATAACCCATAGGTATCAACATAACAAGAAAAGGGAGCCCTCCAAATACTCAGGACCTCAGGCTCAAGCCAAGTTTCAAGGTCTTCCAAAAGGCCAGTAGGTTCAGGCCATCTGAATCTCAGGAAGAAGTATGTTACAGAGGACAGGTACTACCAGAGAAAAGTTATATCTCCTATTTCCCACCAGCTGACATTATTTGGCGGACAGAATCTGGAGCATGTTCAACCTGCATGTATAGATGGACTGGATTGAATAGGTAGATACAACTGGGAGAAAATAACCCCACATGTAGCCTAGTCCCAAGCCATGAAGGGCTTTAAAGGTGACAGCCATCTGTTAGATGAGATCTCTGAACCACTGAACAAAATCTTTCAGAGCTCTTGAGCCCAGGGGAACTACCAGAGGACTGGGAAAGAGTTGTTGTGGTTTCAATTTTCAAAAAGGGGGGGGGAAAGAGGCTCCAGAAAGCTACAGACCAATCGGCTTGCTATCAATATCTGGGGAAATCCTGGAAAAGATAATCAAACAAGCAGATTTGTGAGCACCTTAGAAATGAACAAGGTCATTTACCAGATGTCAGCATGGGTTTGTTAAAAACATGTCACACCAAATAAACCTTATTGCCTTCTTTGATAAAGTGACTAAATTAGTGGACCAAAGAAATAGAATCAATATAGTATACTTAGACTTCAGTAAAGTATTTGATAAAGAGGAGCACAGCCTACTTGGTAAGATAGAATGTGGGATAGACAGTATCACCACCAGATGAAGTCGTAGTTGGCTGACCAGCCACACTCAGGTGTGTAGTCCTCAATGGACTTACATCTACATGGAGAGAAACATGCAGTGGGGTACCTCTGTCTTGGACCCAGTGCTGTTCAATAGCTTCATAAAAGACCTAGATGAGGGAATTGAAAGGGTGCTCATCAAATCGTGGATGTTACTAGGCTGGGGGGAATGGCTAACACTTGGAAGATAGATCGAGGTTTGGAATGATCTTGACAGATTTGAGTATTGGGCCATATCCAACAATGCATTTCAGTAGTGAAAAAAGCAAGGTCCTCACTTAGGAAAAACCAGGTGCACAGGATAGACAATACCTGGGTCAACTGTTGTGCCTGTGAGAGGACTACTGCACTACCATAGTGAGTCCACATTTGGAATACCATTATGATACTTTTAAAAAATGTTGCAGGCCCAGATAGAGTGGAGAGAAGGGCAACAAAATAAGTGTTTGGAGCTAAATCATGCCATGAATAGCTAAGAGAACTAGATATGTTTAGCCTAACAAAGCGAAGGCTTAATGGAAACCTTGCAGCACTCTTCACTTGAATACTTGAAGGGTTGTCACAGAGGAGGGGGTCAATTTATTCTTCATAGCACCTGAGGGCAGGACAAGAAGCAAAGGGTGAAAGCTCATCAGAGAGATCCTACCTGGAAAGGCCTTTCAATACATTTGGAAGGGAAAGTTTATTCAGGTATAGGGACAGTGTATGACATCCAAAGGTCATGTGGTATGTGTGTGTCATCTACCAATAGCTATCTCTTTTCTTGCAACACAAGAGGCTAGAAAGATTGTGGGCTGTTTTGTTTGATTGCGTTTTGTTTTAGGGTTTTTTTTGCAAAATCAAAAAATATAGTTGCCTAAACTAAGAAGTAAAAGTTTTGGAAACCTTTTTATTGCTAATAGCAAGACATAAGGTTGGTCAATTCTTACTACAAAAATGATCCCCAAAAGTGGATTCTCCACTTGTGGGAAACACTAAGACAAAAAAATATATGTTTGTATTGCTGATATTCCAGTGCTGCCCTTATTTTCTACAGAGGTCACAAACAATGTTGTTGTGGAAGACAACTTGATGGTCTGTGTTGAAGGAGACCTCATTGGTTGGTGGGTATCTTTTTGAAAACTTTCCAATGTATACTTGTGATTTCATTAAGTATTTTGAATGCCTGTAAGACAACAATGTAACCTTAAAATACATGCATATTTTTTTTAACCAAACACCTCAAAATATGCCAAGAGAAAGCATATTTGCCTTTACTCTAGAAATTGTCTACCTTTATCATATTTAAAATAACATGCTTAACTTTCAAATGCTCTATCTGACTTTGCATATAGTTTTTGTCATAGAACTTATGTAACATATTTCATTGACAGTGTGGTTGCTAATATTCTTCATTTTTGAATATTCATCTCCCTAGAGTTCATCCTTACCTGGTAACCATTTTTTATATCACGTCTTCATGAAATTGTCTGTGTCATATCCAGCCAAAAACGGCCATATATGAACATTGTCTTCATCTATTCCACTTTTAAAGTCATATTTTACATATTCAGACATAAATTCTTGCCAAATAGATCTTACCTAGCATTCTTTACTGACAATATGGTTGCTAATATTCTTAATATAACACCACTGCTCCATGAGCTGCATTGGCTGCCAGTCTGTTTCCAAATGTAATTCAAGGTGTTGGTAATCACCTTCATGGGATGGGTCCAGGTTACTTGAGGGACCATCTCATCTCAAAGGGATGGACTGGCCGCATCCGTGCCAGCAGAAGAGGCATGCTGTGGACCTGTCAGCTTGATTATTTCAGCGGGAGGGATTCAGGAAAATGGCCACCTCTGCCATTTCACCTGCTCTGGAACATCTTGCCCCTGGTATGAGGTGGGCCCTGGCCCTCTGAAAGAACCTAAAAACCTTGCTCTGTCAGTTAACTTAGGGCCCCAGAGGCTGAGTATCACTGTGGAGGTGGTTGATCGATTAATAACTGATCCCCCCCCCAATCTTTAAATTGGATTGCAATGTTCTGAATTTTATATTAACTTATTTATGTTTTTAGTTTATATCGCTTTTTAATTTTTTAATGATTGTAAGTGGCTCTAAGTTACCTTGAGGTAAGATGGGCGGCCACTGATAAATTTTATAAATAAATAAATAATCTGGTTTACATTAATCAGCGATGGACATTCTCACACTGCTCTGGTGTTGAGATGTGCCCTCCATGGTCACTATAGTTGCAGGAGACAGTGGCCTGCATCACTGCTTTCTGAAGCACTTGCCAAGCTTGTCAGCTCCTTATAAACATAGGCTTAGTGTTCTAAAGTTAGGTGAGTTTAGCATGTCTCTATAATTCTTGAACTGTTTACTATTTCTGTTAGGTTCCTCATGGAAATTGATTTTTTGCCAATATGATGGGCAGTTCAGTAGAGGTCTTGGTCAGTGCCTTGAATGGACTCATGGGCACATCAACCCATACTCATGGATTTGGCTGGATTATACATCAGCTGTAAAAAGCAAGAGAGTAATATTAAAAAAAATAAAAGTCCCAAATGAATGAAAATACTGATTGATGTTCGATGGTTGCAAATTCATTTACAAGTGCAGAACCAAGAGCTAATTACCCATGAGGCTCAAAATACACAGACTGTAAAGATTTATGGAACATAATCTGAAATGTTTAATTGATTTTATGTTTTCTTTTTCTTCCAGCACCTACAACACATTGCGTTGTCAGTCCTGTCAACTAGACATGGGCTTTGTCCTCTATAGTGCAAAGTCACTGGCTTACCTGCGAGGCCTCTTCTGTCTTTTTAAGGACAAAATAACATGGTTAGTGTTCTTCAAATGCATATTGAATTATGTTGGTATATATGTATTAATGTAAAGGGTAACCTCCTGACTGATATAAAATATGGTCAAGTTTAGATACACAATTGAAGTCTTTGATAAAAGGTATCTAGAATGCTTAAGATCTGATGTATTTCAAAAAGGCCACCATCTTGCTTGTTTTGGCTGTTAGTATCATGTATATGCAGTCTTTGGCTGTTATATCAAAATATTTATTTATTCTGTACCAAAATATTTTTTTTCAATGTTCATCTCACCAAGAGTTCATCCTTAGCTGGTCATAATTTTTTGATGTCATCTGCTTAGAAAGTTATTCCTCATCCCATATCCAACCCCAAACAGACTTATATAAGAATTGTCTTTAGCTGTTCAAGTTTTAAAGTTATATTTTGCACCAGATTCAGATTTTCCAATAGAACCTATCTAGCATACTTCATTGATAACATGGTTGCTAATATGAATGGACCTGGGTTAGTTTAGTCCGCTATGGATATACTTCTGCTCTGGCCATATTATGGCTACAGGAAAGACAGAGGCACCAGCCTGCAGTGCTAGATATTTGTCTAGAATAGTGATTCCTAACCGTTTTTTGGGCATGCCCCACCTAAGCATCTCTAAAATCCTGATGACAGCCCCCTACCCCCACCCCATGACATATAATTCTTACTTTACTCAAAAAGTGAACTCTACTCACACAGAGGAAGCCTAAAAGGACACTAACAACATTCAAATTCAAATTGGAAGATTCAAATTGCCCCCATTAAAAATCAAATTGCCGCCCTGTGGGGCATGGGCCCCATGTGGGGAACCCCTGGTCCAGAAATAGAATTCTCTTAAAGTTCTGATCCTGTACTGTGTAGTTTAAACCATCACTGGATGCCTTACATCAGGATGTCAAACTTGATTTCATTGAGGGCCACAGCAGGGTTGTGTTTGATCTCGAAGGGCTGGGGTGGTGGTAATGTGTGGCCAGGGGTGGGCGTGGCCAGGGTGGGCATTTGACCACAGGGTCAAGATGCAATTTTCCCTTCTTTCTTTCCACGGTTCTTTACTATAACCATTTTCCTATCTCTTCTACCAGATATTACTAGCAAACATTTATTATTCTTCATACTCCACTAAACTTTTTATTTCTACATTTATACCTCATTGTTTAATAGTAAATTGCTTTTCCAGGCAGAAAGGCTAATAATAAAAACTCAGTAGCATAAATAACATGATAAAACAGCACAGGTAAATTTCCAGGATAGTAAATAGAAATGGCTGTCAATTATAGATTGTTGAGGGTAGATTAAATGGATCTACTGTCAACTTGCAAAGCATTCCTGACCTGCTCTCAAGTTGCCATAAGAAGGGGTATGGAAAAACCGAGCCTCACAGCTGCATGGAGGATCTTGTATTTCAGTCAAAACAAAGCACATTCCAGCGGCAACGTCAAGGCCATCTCCAGGGGGACCCACAGTGGCTGGAGGGAGGGACTTCTACAACCCACGAAATTGCTTCATTGGGAATGTGACTGATAACACTTCTTGTGGGCGGGAGGAAGCAGGGTCAGAGCCAAGGCGCAAATTAAGTGAGATCAGAGTTGGCTTCACTAGGTTCGTGCCAACATGAAGCTCCTAATCAATAACTGGATTTCTTTTGAATTTAATGGTTAAGCACTGTAAACTGTTTATTTTCTTTTTAATGAGTCAATATTAAAATATTTTTAACATTGGTTTTAGTTACTTGCTACAAACTACCGCTACAGTAGAAGCTTCAAAAGTAACCTGTCCTGTTGTGAGCCTAAAGGAACATGTAGCGAAAGTAAGTGTTTTCTGGCTTTAGTTTTTTTAAATCTATAGCTGTAGAAATTGGAATTTATTTGTATTTATTTAATTTATATTTATACTGTGCTTTATATTTATATGATTTATATTTATACTATAAGGAATGAAAAAAGATTATAGTAGAAAACATACAAGGCACTCTATCCTCTATTTAGTTTCTTTGGGTTTTGCCACGAGCAATAATAGACCAGAAATTGTTTTATGTGTAGATAGGTCAGCATTAAAAAAATTGGGTGGAAGGATTATGCTACAGTGGATCGCAAATGGCATGGATCATATTGGAACAGACCAGGCTTAACTAGCTAATGGTGACTTCATGGCAAATTCTAATGTATAACTGTTTACTTTTCCATGCAATGTCCATTATCTAAAGATTCTTGTAGAACTATAATATGAATCATAATGTTAGTTCAGGATTGGAAAGCCTATGGGGTTGAAGTACTATGGCAATTTTTTTACCCAAAGGGAGCAGAGTTTATTGTCTCCCACCCCAAATTAAAGACTGGTTCCAATGGTTTAAGGATGGAAGGAAGAATGAAGAACTCTCACTTCCTTTCCCAATGTTCTAGTAACATTACTTCAGTGAGTGACCCTAGAAAAGTAGATGACTGAATTGCATTCCTCTCAGATGTTGCTCAGCTGTGCTTCTTCAGTTTAATTAATTAGTATTTGACACTAAAATTCTCATATTGCTATATTATGCAGTTGAATACTGAAGGTATTAAAAGAAAGAATTCCATTTCTGCAGTATTGCTTATATGAATATTTTTAAGTTACAACATAACACTGGTCATTTTAGAAGTATTTGTAAACAGTCAAATTGCTTGATATTCTGTACTATATTCTTTTTACACTTAGTTCTTTGTTTGTAGTTAAAAAAGAGTCTTGTACAAGTTCATATGCGCATAGAATTGCTAATTAAGAAACTAGAAGAATTCAATCAACGAAGGATTACATGTGAGGAGAGCTGTAAAGGAAGACCATATGGATACACAGATTGAAAGCTGAACAGTTAACTTTTTAGAGTTGTCTATCTCAACTAATAGTTTTACAATAACTTGTTTTTGTAACTGAAAATTTAAATTAATATGGCTTTAGAATGGCAAATTGGTAATACACAATTGTTTCCTTTTCTAGCACGCTCAAGGGCATATAGTATTTGTGCATGAACAGTTATCCCAAATCATTTAACTTCTACATGTAAATATTTCTATTTACTCTAACAAAAATCTTTAAACATTGTATAACTGCCCTAAGATTGCATTGGAAACTGGATAGTCTAGCTGAAAAAAATAAACATTTACTTTGTACATTCCTTTAAGTTATCTTGTTTTTTTTACATTTGAGAAAGATATGTTCTCAGGACTCAGCTATAAATTGTGGACAGTAACATTAAAATTGATCAAAAAGTGAAACATTTTAAATTCTAGATTAACATTTTACCAGAAACATTTTAATTATCAAACTACCAAAAGTAACAATTTTTGAGGAAATAACCCTTTTTAATTATGGACAAACCATTACAAAGTCACTAATGTGCATTGTAATGTGTTCGTTATGTGTTCCTTTTTGTCAGAAGGCTTACAGCCAGAAAATTCAATTTCCTGGTTATTGTACTTTCAAGATTGATATATAGGCTGCCGTGGATGTAGTATGTTTTTTCAGCAAGTATGCATAGGATTTATATCCATAAAATATAAAAAGTTTCTTTTTAGTCAATCAATTTACCGTAATTTTTTTTTGAGGCTTCCGGGGGAGGAGCCTGTCGCCGCTGGGAGCTCAATGGAGCTCCCCTCAGAGTTCTGGTCTGTATATCTAAGAGATCATTAGATATCACCCCTTTTTGGCAGAAAGGGGCAAGGAGCAGTTCAGTCGCTAGGATTTCTTCGTAGTTCACAGCCTTGTTTTTTTTTCGCTGTGAACGGAGGAGAGATCCAGCACCAGCTGAGCTTTTTTTTTCTCCAGCCAGTTCTTCTCAGCTGTTTTTTTCAGCTCTAGACAGGTGCCCCCCCCCCCCTCAGGACAAAGCTAAGCTATTTAAAGTTATTTAAAATTAATCCGAGCGGGGTCCACTCCTGAGATGCCTTTTTTATTACTATTTTATTACTATTTTATTACTATTTTATTACTATTTTATTACTATAACACCAGCCTCAATTTTGCTTAAGGCTTCTTTGTTCAGCCGTGATACAAGATGGCGATTTTATAACGTTTGTGACTGATATGTGACTACTTAACTGGCTATACTCTCCTGAAGACCTCTCATCATTAACTATGAAAAGCCTATAAATAACCCTTTGAAATTTGAGGGGAGCGAAAACCCTGCTTATTTGTTTATCTCCAATTTTTATTTATAATGGCGCCAAGATCAAAGCAGGCAAAACGCTCTCTTACGAAGGAGTTTAAAGAATCTGCTATAAAATCGCTGCCCTTGCCTCCTAC